ATGCTGATTATACCCAACTTTTCATCTCTACCCCAAACCACCCAAACGATGTCCTCGACATGATGTCCCGATGCCTGGAGGCTGTGCGCATCTCGATGGGGAGGAACAGGCTCAAGCTCAATCCCTCCAAGACTGAGTGGCTGTGGTTTCCGTCATCCCGATTTGTGCATCTTGTTCCATCTCTGATGATAGGGGGAGAAATTTTAGCCCCCTCAGAGAGGGCCCGCAATCTGGGCGTCCTCCTGGATACGCGGTTTCGTTTAGAAGAACACCGTGACCAGTAGGGCCTTTTACCAGGTTCGCCTGGTACATCAGTTGCACCCCTTCCTGGATCGGGATGCTCTGTGCACAGTCATTCATGCCCTCGTCCTTTCTCGCCTGGACTACTGTAACGCTCTCTACATGGGTCTGCTCTTGAAGAGCACCCGGAAGCTTCAACTGGTCCAGAATGCGGCTGCGTGGGTTATCATGGGGCACCTAGGTGCTCCCATGTTACACCCCTTTTAGGTGGCCTGCACTGGTTGCCAGTTGTCTTCTGGGTGCGATTCAAGGTACTAATTATGACCTTTAAAACGCTCCATGGCTTAGGTCCAGGCTACCTGCAAGACCATCTACTGCCACCGGTAGCCTCCCATCATCCAGTGCGATCCCACAGAGTTGGCCTCCTCAGGGTGCCATCGGCCAGACAGTGTCGGCTAGTGACCCCCAGGGGAGAGCCTTCTCTGTGGGAGCGCCTTTCCTCTGGAATGAGCTGTCCCCGGAGCTTCGTATAATCCCCGACCTCCGGTCCTTCCAACGTGCCCTAAAAAGTTGGCTTTTACAGCAAGCCAGCCTGGCCTGAACAAAACAAAATAAATTATTGATCACTGTTAATTTTAATTTTAATTTTTTAAAAAAAAATGTCTGTCAATTTTAATTGGGTTGGGATATTCTATTTAATTTTTTGTATTATGTGTTTCTTTTAATATTGTACGCCGCCCTGAGTCCTTGGGAGAAGGGCAGCATATACATCTAATGAACCTAAACCAGAAAAGGGAGAAAAAAGAATGGCCTATTGTTTTTCTGTATAAACTTTTTGCCGTTTGGCAAATGTTTTTTTTTTCTAAATTTGCACAGATATAATGCTTTTGCTGTCTTTCCCCGCAGTTTTTCTAGGTTCCAGCTAGCAAGCATCATATTTGTATGCCAGCAGACAGGGAGAATTGCATCTGAGCCTGAGACTTTAAACTTTTTTTTAATGATCTTCTAAAATCCATATATAAATATTCTTATCTAATTATATAACCAAATATATCTAATGGCAGATATATTCAATATATCAGTAATATTCTATATGCTAAGCAAATGTTCTAATCACTACATATTAAGAGCCAATTTGGTATAGTGGTTAAGATGTTGGCCTAGAAACCAGGACACTGTGAATTCTAGTTTCACCTTAGGCATGAAAAAAACCCAGCTGATTGGTCGCTCTCTTTCAGCCCAGCTCATCTCACGTTGCTGTGGGGAAAATAGGAGAAAGAAGGAGCATTGATATGTTCCCTGCCTTGACTGACATATACAGTAATAAAGACAGAATAAAAATATAAAACACACATAAATTTGCAATACCATTGCTTAGATTAAGTTGCTTAGGTTGTAGAATGACAACCCATTGATTCAGTTACAGGAGCATTCCTGAATCTGTGAAGCAGCCAATCAAACTATAGAGGTTGGACTCTAGAACAAAATAACTCATTGCAAGTGAAATAGGACAGCAACTTTTGAAGCAGGAAAAACTTTATTTTGAAACTGGTGTAGGAATATGCACCATGAAATTGCTTTTGTAATGGGCGAGAAGTGTCTCTAGGAAACATTGTTCATACAAGCCACTCCAAAATTGTGATGGGGTAATTGGCAGTACACTTTTGTACACTGTCTTGAATTGCTTAGTGATTGGGTGGCTTTAGAAATAAAATGAACATATATTTTTTAAAAAAGAAAAATCCATTGAGGAATTCTTTTCTGAATTCTCTACAGGAGACGACATCCCACAGCTAGATCAACTAATTTTAAATTCAGCCTTTTCCAACTTAACCCTCTGAAATTTGTTTCAGTTCAGTTTTCAGAGAGTTATCCTACTGATAAGGGCCCAAATTTACGTTGGAAGGCGTGAAAATGATATTAACATAAAATAGAATCAATGCACATTTTGCATTTCAATTTCATAGGTATTTATTTCCATGCAGTTGCTGGGCCACTGTTCTGCACATATAAGTGTTGTGTTCCTTTTTCCTTTTTTACCTTCTGATCCAAAGAGGAGGTGAGTTAAAACCCTGATACAATGGAAGAAATTCTCTATTAACTTGCTTCTCGTGCAAAGATCTACAGCACACAATGAATACAAAAAAGCTCTCAAAATCAATCTCTTTTTAAAAGCAGAATTTAACTATGTATCTGTCTTTTCTATAGCAACCAGAGCACCAGGGCAGCCTGAACATGTGGCCTTTTATTTGATCAAGGATAATAATCAACTAAGCTGAGAGGACAGGAAGCAGATCTCCTTGTGCCAATAGTTTAGTAGAATAAGTCATTCTGGCATATTCAGTTGTCTCTTGCAAGGTTATTCTGAAATAGAATTGTATTTGTGAAATACCCTGCATTTTATATGCTTAATACACAGCAGTTTATAAAATATTATATATCCTAATGTCTTTATTTTGAATTAAATAGGAAATATATTTTGCTCCATGCTTCTTCTGAGATTTAACCTTTGTTGTGTCAGCTCTACCATATATTTGATAACTGGTAAATATCCCATCTCATATCTGGATGTTGAGAACATTGTGGAAACTGAAGTGTATTAATATGCAACTAAGAATGATGTGTTTCTAATATATTCTGTGCATCTTTGCAATTTTGTAATTGCTAAGATGTGGTAAATGTATCACACGTACAAGCAAGCTCAGTATGCAAAGTTGGTATTTCCTTTATCATGTAAAAGAGAGGCTGAACCAATCAGAGAATGGCAAAAGGACAAATGAGGTTGTGACTCCATTAATACTTGAAATGAGATTTTTAATCCATAAATTTAGACAATATAAAAGTTCATTTATGGGGGTTTGAAAAACTGGCCTTGTAAACATTTTTGTAGGAGGTAGAACACATAGATTTGACAACCTGGCAAACAGAACCGCGAATTCTGCAACTCAAATAAATAAAAAGAACATATGTCTATTAACTAGTGCTGTTTTGATTTTACAAAATTGAAAGTATATACAAGACAAAAAAGCACTGCTTTTAATAAATAGAGAGAAGTGGCTTTAAAAAAAACAATTCATAAGTATATTCATTTTAATTGTTCAGAGATTGGGGAATATGGATTGGGTGCTAAAGCTAATAAGACTCATGAGATTTTAAATTTTGAAAAAAAAAGACAACTTGCCATTGAATATTATTTATGGCAATATCCACAGTAATGTAAGTCCATTGGCATACAACCTTCCTGCAGAGTGCTTAGAAATAGTAGAATAACCGTAACCCTTCATAGAAATCTGAAAAACTCCTAAATTCTGCCATAAAATTATTTTAGATACACAGAAACAAAAGTTCAATTCAAAAACTGAGTTTGATTGTCAAATTCACTCATAATGCAGAGAGAAGGTGGGTGGGTGGGTGGGTGGGTGGGTGAGAGAGAGAGAGAGAGAGAGAGAGAGAGAGAGAGAGAGAGAGATGCAAATTGACCCATTTGAATATTGAATTTTTAAGGCTCTACTGAAATTATGGCAGTTCTACAAGTAAGAAGACTGAAACACATTAAAACACATCTAAAAGACATACATGAAACCTTCCACAGATAAATATTCATAATGATAATTTTGTGGTGTGTTAAGTAATAATAAGATGTCTTTATTGTACAAACTTGGGTTCTACTATTAGGTAAGAATAGGTTGTACTGCTAATGTCAAATTAATGAAGCTGCTAAACCGAAATTCTGGCATTTTAAAAAATGTGTGTCTTTACACCAATAAGAGTGTTGGGCAAATAATAGTGGAGAGCTGTTGATATCAAAATCGTATCTTCTATTCCAAAGTCTATTCAAAGCAATGCCTTGTGAAGTATCCAGAGAGAAATTTAATCTGTTTTTAATCTTTTTGACAAAGGTATCCTGGCTAAGAGAGGAAGTGAAAGATTCTGACCAAGAGAGGAAGTGAAAAGGGGCAAAATGTGGGCAATATATGGGGTAACAATAAAATGAAATCATGAAATCACAGTGAACCACACATATTTTGATTAGAAATCTAACTAACAAGGAAAGTTATAAAAATTAGTAGATTGGTTATAAAAATGAGCAGATTGGGAGAACTACGGTTGCCATATCCATTATAACCATAGATTACAAAATATTAGAATAATGTAACATAAAATAAAGTATACATAGGTAGTTACCCAGGATCTGTACATCATCACATCATCATCATAAGTCATCATTATTGTTATTACTATTATTTTGCCTATTTGTAATTAATTATTACTATAGTTTTCTTAGCAATATTTTTTGGAAGTGGTTTGCCATGCTCCCTCCTTAAGGTATGACATTTGAAGAACTGATAACTATTCAATGAAACTGGGTAATTAAGGCCTAATTGATAGGATGGGAAGAAGGACATTGGTTGTTGCTTGGGAGGAAAATCACAAAATATGCTTTGTCTTAGAATTGTGAAATGATTTAGGATAGGCTTTCTTAATTTGGTGGCTTCAAAATCTGCCAAACAACCAGTGGTAGGATTCAATTTATTTTACTACCGGTTCTGTAGCCGTGGCTTGGTGGGTGTGGCATGGCTTGGTGGGCATAGCTTAGTGGGCGTGGCAGGGGAAGGATACTGTAAAATCTCCATTCCCTCCCCACTCCAGGGGAAGGTTACTGCAAAATCCCCATTTCCTCCCAATCAGCTGGGACTCGGGAGGCAGAGAATAGATGGGGGTGGGGCCAGCCAGTGATGGTATTTACTGGTTCTCTGAACTAAATTTTTTTGCTACCAGTACTCCAAAAGTGGTCAGAACTTGCTGAATATCACCTCTGTAAACAACATCCTTAATCCTTCCCAGGTAGGTTAAAGTTGTTTAATATTCCTGTCCATCTAAAATTGATTTTATATTCCTGTCCATCAGGAGGGTGCTGGGCTGGGAAAAGCTCACCAAATATATCTATATTTCTAAATCTGGAGTAGATACCACCGTCAGGTGCACCTCTGCCATCCAAAGAGTTTCCAGAATGTAGATTGCATATCAAAGAGACAATACAGCAAAATTGTGATGAGAAAAAGAGGTATTATTGCTTTTGCTGGAAGAATGATACACTGTTTTAAACTGCAATGAAGAGAAGGAGGAAAGATAGACATTCTCTAAATGTACATTTAAACCTAGTCAGCAATAAGAAGAGACACATTAAAAAAAACACTTTGCAAGTATATTCTCATTTAAATATAAGAAATAATTTGCACTTGGACTCAGAAGTAATCCAATATTATTTAACTGTAAAATCTTTCAGGATGCTCTTCAAAAACAAATCCGTAAAACTTTTCTGATGAAAAAAAGTTGTTAAATGGAGGAAGTGAGAACTAAAAATCAGGTGCCTCCAGCAGCAGTGCCCATGAAGACAATATTAATCGGTGGTAAGGATGACACCATCTCATTGTTAGCTTGTCCAGAAGAGTCCATTGGTTCCTGAGAAGGGCACTGACGAGAATGGCCGTACATGCATTCAGAGGAACTTGTAGGCAGAGCAGACAGCATTTCTGAAGCTACAAAGAAAATGACAAGAGTTATTCTTGGTGCTGCTTCTAAAAAGAAAAAAAAAGGAAAAGATTCCAAAGCTTTAAATACATTCTACTAAGATCACCCTCCAATCTGGATTTCATTTCTTAAACTTGCTATGTCAAGATTTACATTAATTATGCACTGAATTGTGGAATGTAATCTAATACAGATAGTCCACAATTTACAACCACACTTGAGCTGAAAATTTCTGAGACATTTGTTAAGTGAGTTTTGCCCCATTTTACAACCTTTCTAGCCAGGATTTACTGAATTTGGCTTCCCCATTGACTTTGCTTCTCAAAAGATTGCATAAGGTGACCACATGACTTTGGGACACAATGCAATGGTCATAAGTATGAGTCAATTGCCAAGCATCTGAATACACATATCCATGGGGATACTATAAAGGTTGTAACTGTAAAAAACGGTCATGTGCCTTTTTTCAGTGCCATTGTAACTTTGAACCTAAACAAACTGTTGTAAGTTGAGGACTACTTGTAACAGTTTTAGTATTTCCCAAATCAGCTGCTTTGATTTTTTTTTTGAAACAGGAAAGTGTGTTTGTGTGTAATAATCTCAAAGAGTACAAATAAGCAAAGGGATCAGAGGTGATATTCAGCTGGTTCGTACAGGTTCTACTGAATTGATAGTAATGATTCTGAGCAGTTTGGAGAACTGACAAATCATACCACTGGTGCAAAGCACCACCCGTGCTTCTCTGTGTCACAGCGCTTTCTGGATGGGACTTAGAGGGACTTAGAAGGAAGCGGTGGCTTGCCTCTAGATGCTCAGATGCACAAGATGCACAAGATGCTGTCCAGGCAGTGCGGAGAGAAGCAGCTGCTTCCCTGGAGACCATAGATAGGGGGAGCTTCGCTGTGTGGCAGAAAACATGCATGCACGGAAGCCACACATGCATGCACAGAATCCATGCATGCATTGAAGCCGTGCATGCACATGCAGAAGACGCATGCGTGCTCACATTTTCAGTGAACCAGTGGTGGAATTATTTGAAACCCACCACTGAAAGGGATCATCACTGGTGTGAGTCTGTGTATTAAAGTATTGTTTCTTTGTTCTGCAGCCACCACTAAACTCTTTTTTGGCTTTACAAATTCTTTAGGTCGCTAAAGTCTTCTACTGGGTGAAACATAGAGAAGATTTAGCATAGCAAAGGGACTTGATTAAAACTGAACAAATATATCTTATTGAATATCATTTTTAAGGTGGGCTTTTTAAGCAGATTCACATACTTTTATTGTATATCTTGCCAATACCAATCTGCAGCATAATTTATTCTTCCGTTTCAATACTAATCAGTTCTAGATACCCTTAGCTATTCATTCTTCAGCTTAATAGTTAAGGAGTTACTTAGTTTCTTTGGCTACTGTGTGGAGATTGTGAAGATGGTTAACCAGCACATTTCCTCTCCCTTTCACATTCATTGTAGGCATGGGTTCAAAAGAAGAGAGTGTCCATGCCACACCAAACCTTTTTAGTTACTTACTTATAGAGTTCTGGCCAGCAATTGAGGCATCTGGATAATAAGATGCTCCCTGTTTCCTTCCTGTATCTTCTAGGATGCAGAGTGAATCATGAATGTCACTGTATGGAGGCAATGGGCGAATGCTGCTTACACTGCTGATGACAGAAACGTGCTGATCTACCAATGACTCAAATCTGTGGGAATCTGAATAGTTTGCATTATTTCCATAGAACCCTGTTAACAGGAGGTTGACAATCAGTGAGTAAACATCTAGAACAACAGACAATATTGTATAAGCACATACACTGTAAATCTTAAGTTTTTAAAAAAAAAATAAAGCTTAAATTATTAAATTCATTTAATTTTTTTTAAATAAAGAAGTTAAACTTTCATGTTGCATGTGCCTTTGTATTGCTATAAATATGGGACAAATATGCTCTTCCAGCTAAAGATGTAATCATTCTTATATTTATATAATATTTATATTTATTACATATACATATACATATACATATACATATACATATACATATACATATACATATACATATACATATACATATACATATACATATACATATAC